CCTTCCTAGACCAGGATGGAGCGGGGAGGACTTTGGACTTTCCACAGGGCAGGGAACCCTGACTGCCCCTCAGACTGGAGAGGGAGGGGGAGAGGAGTGGGGGAAGGGGGAGAGGAGAGGGAGGAGGGGGGAAAAGGGAGACGGGGAGGGAAATGGGAGGCGGGGAGGAGGCAGAAAAAAATTTTTTTTCAATAAAAAATTATATTTAAAAAAAAGCAGATTCACTCGGGAGGAGTAGAAGACTGGAAATAATCAAACTGAGGTCGGAAATCAGCAAAATAGAAACACAGAAAATAATCCAAAAAAAAACAATGAAACAAAGAGCTGGTTCTTGGAGAAAATCAACAAGATTGACAAACCCTTATCCAAACTAATCAAACAGCAGAGAAAGAACATTCAAATTAACAAGATCAGAAAAGAAAAGGGGGTCATAACCACAGACACAGAGGAAATTCAGAGAATCATTAAGTCTTAATACAAAAGACTGTATACTACAAAATTGGAAAATGTAAAAGAAATGGACATTTTTTTAAAGATAAGTACCATATACCAAATTTAAATCAAGACCAGGTAAAAAATTTAAATAGACCTAAAAGTCATGAGGAAATAGAAGCTGTCATCAAAAACTTCTAATCCAAAAAAAGCCCAGGACCAGTTGGTTTCAATGCAGAATTCTACCAGAACTTCCAAGAAGAGTTAATACCTATACTCTTTAATGTGTTTCGCATAATGGAAACAGAAGGGTCATTGCCAAACTCTTTTTATGAAGCTACAGTTACCCTGATACCAAAACCACACAAAGACTCAACCTAGAAAGAGAATTACAGGCCAATCTCACTCATGAACATCAATGCAAAAATTCTCAATAAAATAATGGCAAACCGAATCCAAGAACACATTAGAAAAAATATCCATTATGATCAAGTAGGCTTCATCCCAGGGATGCAGGGCTGGTTCAACATACGAAAATCTATCAATGTAATCCATCATATAAATAAACTAAAGAAAAAAACCATATGATCATTTCATTAGATGCTGAAAAAGCATTTGACAAAATTCAACACCTCTTTATGATAAAGTTCTTAAAGAGATTAGAATACAAGTTTTATACCTAAATATAATAAAAACAATATACAGCAAACCGACAGCTAACATCAAATTAAATGGAGAGAAACTTAAAGCCATTTCACTAAAACCAGGAATAAGACAAGACTGTACACTCTCACAATATCTTTTCAATATTGTGCTTGAATTTTTAGCAATAGAAATAAGACAACATAAGGAGACCACGGGGATTCAAATTTGAAAGGAAGAAGTCAAACTTTTGTTATTTGCAGATGATATGATAATGTACATAAGTGACTAAAAACTTTACCAAAGAACTCCTACAGCTGATAAACACCTTCAATAATGTGGCAGGATACAATATCGACTCAAAAAAATCAATAGCCCTCCTATACACAAAGAATAAAGAAGCAGAGAGGGAAATCAGAGAAGCATCACCTTTCACGAAAGCCTCAAATAGCATAAAATATCTTGGGGTAGCACTAACCAAGGAAGTTAAAGATCTATTTGACAAGAACTTTAAGGCTTTGAAGAAAGAAATTGAAGAGGATACCATAAAATGGAAGGATCTCCCATGCTCTTGGACTGGTATGAGCAACATAGTAAAAACGTCAACTCTACCAAAGGCAATCTCTAGATTCAATGCAATCCCCAACAAAATTTTTATTCTTCCGAGATCTTGTGAAAGCAATAGTCAACTTGATATGGAAAAATAAAAAAAAAACACAGGATAGCCAAAACAAACCTATATAATAAAAGTACTTCCGGAGGCATTAGCATCCCTGACTTCAAAGTCTATTACAGAGCTACAGTAATGGAAACAGCTTGGTGTTTGCTTAAAAACAGAGACATTGACTAATGGAATCGAATTGAAGAACCGGATAATCCACAAACCTATGAACACCCGATTTTGGGCAAAGGAGCTAAAATTATACAATGGAAGAAAGAAAGGATCTTTAACAAATGGTGCTGGCATAACTGGGCGTCAACCTGTAGAAGAATGAAAATAGATCCATATCTATTACCATACACAAAACTCAAGTCCAAATGGATTAAAGACCTCAATATAAATATGACCAAATTGATTGTGACAGAAGAGAACATGGGAAGTAGTCTGCAACACATGGGCACAGGAGACCACTTCCTATGCATAACCCCAGTAGAACAAGAAATAAGAGCAACAATAAATAATTGGGACCTCCTGAAACTGAGAAGCTTCTGTAAAGCAAAGGACACTGTCATTAAGACAAAAAAGCAACCTAATAATGGGAGAAGATCTTCACCAACCCTGCATCAGACAAAGGTCTGATCTCCAAAATATATAAAGAACTCAAGAAACTAGAAATTAAAATTCTAAATAACCCAATTAAAAATGGGTTACTGAACTGAATAGAGAAGTCTCAACAGAAGAATTTCAAACGGCCAAAAGGTAATTAAATCATGGTCATCTTCCTTAGCAATCAGGGAAATGCAAATCAGAACAACTTTGAGAAACCATCTTATACCTGTCAGAATGGCTAAAATAAAAAACACCAATGATAGCTCATGCTGGAGAGCATGTGGAGCAAGGAGAACACTCATCCATTGCTGGTGAGAATGTAAACTTGTGCAACCACTTTGGAAATCAGCGTGGCCAGTTCTCAAAAAACTGGGAGTCAACATTCCTCAGGACCCAGCAATTCCACTCTTGGGAATTTAACCAAAAGGTGCCCAATCATACTACAAAAGCATTTGTTCAACTATGTTCAAAGCAGCACTATTTGTAATATCCAGAACGTAGAAACAGCCTAGGTGCCCCTCAATAAAAGAATAGATAAAGGATGTGTGGCACATATACACATTAGAGTTCTACTTGGCAGCTAAAACAGTGACATCTTGAATTTTGCATGTAAATGAACAGTTATAGAAAACACTATCCTGATTGAGATAACCCAGACCCCAAAACATGAGCATGGTATATACTCACACATAAGTGGATTCTAGCCATAAACAAGGGACATTGAGCCTATATTTCATGATCCTAAAGAAGCTGAATAATAAGGTGAACCCCAAGAAAAACATATATAGATCCTCCTGGAAATTAGAAGCAGACAATATCACAAGGCAAAATTTGGGTGCATGGGAGTAGGGATGGTTTGGAGAGAAAGGGAGAGAGTAGGGAGAAGGGAAGGATTGGGAAGAGCTTGGGGGAATGGGATGGTTGAGATGGATGAATGTTGGATATGGGAGCAGGGAAGAAGATATCTTAATTAAGGGAGCCATTTTACATTGCCATGAGACTTGGCTCTAGAGGGGTTCCCAGGTATCCAAGAGGATGTCTCCCACTAGGTCCTTGGGAAATAGCGGAGAGGATGCCTCAACTGGCTTTGACCCATAGCCCCACTGATGAATATCTTGAATATCACCATACAATTTTCATCCAGCGATAGATGGAGATAGAGACAGAGATGTACACTGGAGCACTGTACTGAGCTCCCAAGGTCCAGATAAAGAACAGAAGGAGGGAGAATATGAGCAAAGAAGTCAGGGCCGCAAGGGGTTCATCTACCCACTGCGATGGTGTGACTGATCTAATGGGAGTTCAGCAAGGCCAGCTGGACTAGGAGTGAATGAGCATATGATCAAATTGGACTCTGAATGTGGCTAACAATGTGGGCTGACTGAGAAGCCAATAATAATGACACTAGGATTTGATTTACACATCCCAGCTTTTTGGGATCCTAGTCTGTTTGGATGCACACATTCCCAGCCCTGGATGGAGTGGGGAGTCTCTTGGACTTCCCACAGGGCAGGCTACCCTGCCTTCTTTTAGGACTCCAGGGTGAGAGGGGAAAGCCGGTGGGGGAGTGGGAGGGAAATGGGAGGAGGTAGAAATTTTAAATGCTATTATTTATAAAGCAATAAAAAAAGAAAATGGAAAAAAGACATGGCATCATGAAATTGACAGGCAAATGTTTAGAACTAGAAGAAAAATCACCTGAGTATGGTAACCCACACCCAGAAAGATAAATATAGTAGGTGCACACTTAAAGGTGTAAATTATCTTTTATTTAAATGATAACTTATAGTAGATGGTAGTACAAGTTTTCATTGCCAGCATGAGGGAGACAGGTTGATCTCTGCATTCCAGGCCAACCTAGCCTACATAGCGAGTTCTAGGACAGTCAGAATGACGTGGTAACACCTTCTCTCCGAAAAATAAAATAACAAAGAAACAGAAGTAAATGATAACCAAGTGGGGAAGCATGGATCTCTGGGAAAGAAAGAAATTAGATTTTAGGCCGCGGGGTTGCTGGAGGGTCGTGGGAGGCACGTCGGAGACATGTGGGGGGGGGCAGCAGCTGCAGCCAGACTCCCAGCCGGGCCATCCCCACTCGCTGCGTAGCCCTCGGCGACGGCGTGCAGCTCCCGCCCGGGGACTACAGCACCACTCCGGGCAGCACGCTCTTCAGCACCACTCCGGGAGGAACCAGGATCATCTATGACCGGAAGTTCCTGATGGAGTGTCGGAACTCACCTGTGGCCAAAACACCCCCGAAGGACCTGCCAGCCATTCCTGGGGTCACTAGCCCGACCAGCGATGAGCCTCCCATGCAAGTCAGCCAGAGCCACCTGCACAGCCCTGAAGAAAAGCGGGCAGGCGGTGAAGAGTCACAGTTTGAGATGGACATTTAAGGGACCAGCCATAGGATGGAGTGATGCCTCTGGGCCCCCGAGGCCCTTGGAAGGAAAGCCACAGCAGTCAGGCCTTAACACCAGGCAGATGTTGGGTGTGGGCGACCCAGCCCTGCTCCTCACTCGGCCCTTGCTCCGCCTTCCATTTTGTGAACACCAGCACATACCTCCTTGTGCCTCTGATGATACTGAGCTGCTACTCCAGGGGGATGATTCTTGCCCACACCCTGCATCCAGTGCCAGGAAGTGGACACAGAGGAACCCGTCAGGATGACCGTCTGGCAATTCCAGCCCCAGCCTCTGGAGCACACCCACCCTTTCCTTGGGCTGGGGTACCTGGGAAAGCTACCCTTTTTACTTCTTTCCCTGAGAGGAAATAAAAGCCACCTTTACCCTAGGCCCAAGGTTGGGCCCTGTCTGAACTGTTTTCAACTTGAAGTGATAACACAGTTAACTCTCTGTTCCGTGAAAAAAAAAAAAAAGAAATTAGATTTTAAAGGCAGACTGGGCGAATTTGGGGGTGGTAATGGGGTGGTGAATTAGGTGGGGGTGATGTGGTGGAGGGAGAGAGTGTGAAGAGAGAAGGTTCAAATTGAGGGCATTTGGGGATTTGTGTGGAAACCTAGTTCATTGAAAACTTCTTGGGATCTATGAAGGTCATTCTAATTTGGACTCCTAGCAATGGCGGATAAATATTGAGTATCAACTGGCCATCTGTGAAGCCAGCCAAGACTTCCAGTGATGGGACTGGTTTGATTTAGTTGAGTTCTTCGTGAAGAGGGCATGATGAAAATCCTCATCCTAGACTGTTTCTAAGATAAAGGGTTGCACTCTGAAAACTAACAGTGGGGCCCCATTGTTGAGGATAATAACCACACAACTCAATGAACATGGATAATCTGAGCTTCTGTTTATAAGTAACTTATGCCACTGTGTTCTATTCTCTTTGGTGTGGAAAAGTACCCAGCAGGTTAAGGAAAGAGAAAGTTAAACAACAAGAGAGGCACTAAACCTTTGACCTACAATCTGTCCTGCCTGCCATAAATGTAATGGTGGCAAAAAAAAAAATGTCAACCAATGTCTGATTTGTCATCCTAAGGCCCACTACATGAGAAAGAACTCATAGCAGACACTATATGGCTAACCACGAATGAGAGATTAGATAGTCCAGAGACCTAGGCTAAAACCAAACAGCACTTCTTTTAAGAAAATTCATTGAAATATTCCCTAATGATATTCTGCTCTACTCACTGATAAGTGTTTTATCTAGTCAGTAGTGGCTTCTTCCAACAGCACATGGGAACAGATGCAGAGTTCCATGGTGAGATGTTATGTGGAGAGAGACTCTAAATTAGAGGTCTTCACCAAAACTCTTCCACCAGAGCTCAGGAAATCCCATGGGAGAGGAGGTTAAAGAGTGTAGAACCAGAGGGGATAGAAGACACCAGCAGAAAATTAAGCAAGGTGTATATGAGCTTAAAGAGACTAGTCAGCACGCCCAAGGCTAACCAGAATTTGTACTAGGACTGTTGAATATGTGTTACAGATATCAAACAGGCTTAGTATTTATGTGGGACTTCTGACTATGAGAACAAGGGGGTCTCTGAACCTTGTACTTGCTATCAGGACTCTTCTCATGTTGGACTGACATATCCATCTTGGACATATAGATTTGCCTCTATCCAAGTTTCTTTTTGTTGCCTTCTTTTTATCTGTTTAAAGCCTGATCTTTTCTAATGAGAGACAAAAAAGAGTAGATCTGGAGGAGAGGGAAGGTTGAAAGGAAATGGGAGGAGATGAGGAAGGGAAAACCATTATCAGGATATATTATATGAGAAAGGAATTTATTTTCCATAAAACAAAAACTGTGTTGTTGAAGAAGAGAGAGTTTGCTTTTGGTCCCGGCCACCAGGCTTGCTTACACCTGGAATATCCCTGAAATTATCACACAGAAGATGTATTAATTAAATCACTGCCTGTCCATTATGTCTAGCCTCTTATTGACTAACTCTCACATCCTGATTTAACCCATTTCTAATAATTCTTATAACACCATGAGGTCATGGTTTACTGGGAAAGATTCAGCACGTCTGACGTGGCAACTCCATGCCAGTTCTCTCTCTGATTCTGCTTCCTTTCTCCCAGAATTAAGTTCTGTCTACTCCGCCTACCTAAGTGCTGCCCTATCATAAGGCCAAGGCAGTTTCTTTATTCAACCAATGAAAGAAACACATAGACAGAAGAACCCCCTATATCATTTCCCCCTTTACTGTTTAAACAAAAAATAGGCTTTCACTTTAACATAGTAAAATTACATATAACAAAACAGTTATCAAGCAATAACTGCAGTTATTCGGGGCTAGCTTATGCCCCGAAATAATCACACGGACACTGTATTCTTTTAAACACTGCTTGGCCCATTACTATCTAGCCTCTTCTCAGCTAACTCTCGCACCTGAACTAGCCCATTTCTAATAATGTGTGTAAGCACCCCAAGGTGCGCTTACCGGGAAGATTCTAGCCTACATCCATCCTGGGTCAGAGCTTCATGGCCTGTGTCTCTGAGAGGAGCTATGGAGTCTGTCTGCTCCAGAGCAGAGCTGTCGAGTCTGAGCTCACTTCCTCTTCCCCCCAGCATCATGTTCTGTTTACTCCTCCCACCTATGTTTTAACATATCAGAGCAAGCAGTTTGTTTATTTAATTAACCAATGACCTTCCTCCATCAGTGGTACATGCTGCTGCCAAGTGGCCAGCCATCTGCATTTTCTAAGCTCACAGAACTTTCTGGGCACTTTTTGGGTTTCTTCATAGTTACACAAGCCACACTGTACATCCTCAGGATTAGCCTGAGAACAAGTGGGATGAGCTTTGTGAATGGAACATATGGAATGCTGAAGGAATCATGATTGTGAAGTCAGGCTCAGTGTGAGTTTGAAAGGTTTTGGACCACAAATGTGCAACCTGTTGAACAAATATTCAAATCCTGTCAAGGAGTCATTTCTCCATTCTCTTCTACTTTATTGTCCAAATGTCACCCATGGACATTCTCTCAAGCACAGTGCTGGAGCCTGGGCAAATGGTAGTGTATTTCTCACCTGTTCAGGTGCATGCTAAAGCAAGAAAATGGACCCTTCCTCATAAGTGCAGCAAACACTCAGGATGCTGTAGATATCTTGCTGTATTTGCTTAAAAGCCACATTGAGCTCTGAGAATGCACTGGGGAAGGTGGAGAAATCCTAGCATGGATGCTCTTCAGAACAGGTCAGTCACAACATCCTGTACCTGCAATGTGTCATGAACACATTTAGGCACACGGCAAAGGTAAGGCTGTATTCAAAAAAGAATTTATATATTCCCTGACTTCTGCAGGTTTCTCAGCAATTTTGGAAGAAGGTGTTCATCATTGTAAAAAAAAAAAGGGGGGGAACACTGAATGAGATTTGTTCAGAGGGAGGTGAGAAAGAGGAGGGAGCCCAGTGACAGATGGACAAAGGACTTTTTGGGTGATAGGGAGGTCTGCCATAGAAGGTTAACAGGGAATCATGGGGGCACAACAAATGTGTCTTCATGGATGCCTTCTGGGGCTACCTCTAGGGAAAAGGGTTTATTGCTATGAAGAGACACCATGACCATGGCAAACCTTAAAAAAGAAAACCATTACTTTGAGCAGGCTTACATGTCAGAAGTTAGTCCATTATTGTCAGAAAAATATAATGAGTGAGCGACTAGGCCTTACTTGAGTTTCTCAGATCTCAAAGCCCACCACCAAGTGAAACACTACTTCCAACAAAGCCACACATACTTCAACAAGGCCACACCTCCAAAAATGCCACTCTCTGTGAGGCTATGGGGGCATTCTCATTCAGACCACACAAGTAGTTACAGAACCCATAGATAAGTCTTACACATGGCTGTTCCTCTCAACCAACAAGATAGACATGGAGAATGGAGACAGGGCTGGGTGTGGTAGATCTCACCTTTAATGCCAGTATACAAGACATGGAGGCAGAGAAATCTCTTTGAAATTTCTTTCACTCTGGTCTACTTATGACATCTGGGACAGCCATAACTACATTGTGTAGCTCAAAACAAAAACAAAACATAATAGAAACTGAAGGCAGAATGTCTGGGTTCCCCTACCCACCTCACTAACTTTCATGCTCTTTAAAGCTTGTTCAGACTTCTCTTCTCTCAGAGCTTGATATTCAGATATGGTCCCATGAACACTTTGATGGTTCCCACATGAAGTGTACTCCTGTAGGTTTGACTAGCTCAGATATATGAATGAGGCAGTATTTGGCCCATGGTGCCTACCAGGCAGTCTGAAATGCTACAGATCAGGGACATTCACCATGTTCTTGATCCCTTACTTGACAAGCAACTGCATGGTGCCTCTTCATCCCAGACTTAACTTCCACCCGAGTCAGTTAGCTATGGGAATGGCAGCCCATTTATCTTTTCCTGTTTTATCTGGATTTGAGGGACACACCTTCAGGAGGCATTGTAAGTCTCAAGATCCATGCTGGGATGCTGCTTGGAATCCATTGTTCAGGCTTTTGGGGTTAACTCTCAGTGCACATGTGTTAGTGATTTTACATGGAATGCAGCTATGCACACTGAAGACAATATTTACATGCATATGTGTTCATGTGTGTATTCACATATGTATTTATATATAGTAAAACTCACTTAGAATTATATCATCGAAGTGAATAGGTGGTGTGTGAAATGTCACAGTTACCTCTGTTCTGTGCCCTACAAGATAGATAGCTGAGAGATAGATAGATAGATAGATAGATAGATAGATAGATAGATAGATAGAAAAAAACAGGTGCTGTACACAGTCTTGAGAATTTCATGGGTTCTAAGCGAAGTTACATTTCAATGCTTGTGTGAATGTACCCAGAACACACAACATTAACAGGATGGCTGACACAGAAATCATAGCATCTGTCTAATGGTTAAATGGCCCCACAGGTGTTCACAATCCCTTCTACTTGTTACCACCAGAAGGAGAGGGACTGCCCCATCTGCACACCCACGCGGAAAATCCAAACAACCCTGTAGCTTGTGGCCAGAGCCTGTGTCTTTTTCCTCCTTTTCTTTGCATCTCACGAATAGGCTCAGAACCCTTCAGGAAGCTGCTAATGTTGAGAAGGCACTGAAATACTGAGCATGCTCTGGCACACTCTGGCTTTAGGGCTGCATCCTGTAGAATGAGGCTGTTCATGTGACAGTCTCCTTTTACCCTGGCTCTTTCTCTCACTCCAGGTAACCTAGGCAACCAAACACTCCATGTTTTCAGAAATTTCTCTTTTTCTTGCAGGTTATTGATTTCCTCTGGCACAGTGGTTTCAGGATGAGATTTAAAAACACCTCTGCCACCACCTCCTGTCC